AGTCATAGATTGGGTAAGAGATCACTGGGTAAATTCTGTTACAGGAAAATTTTAAGCTAACCAGAAAACAAACCAAACTATAACACAGTCAAATCCTTCAGGAATTTAACTCAGACTGTTTAATGATACAGTCAAGGTAGCCAAAGAAAAGAGTGTAGTTAGCAATTCAATAAGTAAATCAGGAATAAAAAATACTGAGTTCCTTGCATAGTCCCCTGCATAGACTTTAATAAACAGCTTGACCTTTGGAAGTCTGAGAGCTTCAATTTATCTGCTCTCTAAATATGCTCACAATAAAAATGCCATTAGAAATATGCTGTGAGGATGAATGTCAGTAAAGAACTGTGAGACCCATGGATAAGAGATGAAAAGAAAGTCTAAATACCATAACTATAAGCTAATTAAAATTTAATGTGACTTAAAAATCACATTGCTATCTGGGGCAGATTCATAGATGATACACTAAGAGCAAGTTTTAATTTATATTTTATTTTGAAGTCTTACAATAACCCTTGAAAAATACACGAAACAAGATCACCTGATATTTCTCTTTTGCTTTGGAAGAATCCCTGTGACTCCGGGACCTCGGAAAAATTCCAGCTGGCTTAGACAAAAATAACTTGTTTTTAATCTTGAAAAATCTTTAATATTATTTTCACAGTAACAAAGAGACAAGGATGTGAACCAAGTGATGCACAAATTAGACTTGGACTGCACGCTATCTCTTCCCCACGAGCTCCTCCTCTATGGCATTTGCACAGTCCAATCAATTATTTGATTGCTATTCAAATAATTTGTCATCATGGTGATTTATTCTTATGGATGCCAATTCATGTGGAAATGTGGAAAGTAGGAAATATAGGGTTCTAATAACACCAATTAAGAGCTGAAATTTTAAAAGCTCTGACATATATATTGTAGACAGCAATTTATTTTGTCAAAGGATGATTCAGTTTTAAAAAGGTCTACCAAAAAAATCATTTTTAAAAGCCCATATACTTCTCCAGTATATCTGAGCAGTAAGGTTTAATTAACAAATATTCAGATGTACATTTGTGTGGGGTGTGTGTGTGTGTGTGTGTGTGTGTGTGTGTGTGTGTGAGAGAGAGAGAGAGAGAGAGAAGGACCATCGAGTACAAATAAAATATTAATTATACCTCTGCCAGTGAGATTTACTTATAAGAATTACAAAATGTTTGTGCCCAACACAATTATCCCGAGAAGAGGACATTGCATATTTTTAGGTAGGATGGTGTTAGATCTGCTCTAACTGCTTCAGCTATTTGTTAGAAACAAATCCCAATTGTGGAAACAACCTTCAGAATTGGGAACAGCACATGCTCAAAGCTGGTTGAATTGGGAATGAGACAGGAGTGACCTTTTGCAGATACACACCATCACTTAGGGACTGAGAGATACATTGGTACAGCCCCTCTCCCATTTTACACATGAAGCCGCTTGACCCAGAGAGGAAAAGGGCCTTTCAAGGGCTGCACAACCGGCAGAAGACACAGAGTGTCCCCATTCCAGGACAGCGCTCCTACGCTGCCCCATGACGGTGGCTGAGCCTTCAGATAATGAGATGTGTCTTTTTCTTTTCCATGTCGGTACTCACATGCCGACTACCTAGTATGGGGCATGCGGTGGGGCGCCAGGGGACAGGGAAATGTTTTATATTTATATTGGGAGGCTATACATATTTTACACATTATATTTATGTGTAACTTTGCATATTCATTCTCTCCCTCTCATGAAGTCAACTGGCTTCTGCTACCTTCTTGAGACTAAGCCTAGGGCTCCTTTGCTGAAATGCTTTTTTTCCCCTCACCCGAGGATATTTTTTCCATTGATTTCTAAAGAGCAGAAGGGAGAGAGGAGCGGGACAGGAGCGAGAAACATCAGTGTGAGAGGTCTCATGGATTGGTTGCCTCCACATGCACCCTGAGCAGGGCTGGGGAACCTGCAACTGAGGTACATGTCCTTGACCAGGAATCAAACACAGAATCCAACCTTTGGTCAGCAGGTCAACACTAACCACTGAGCAACCAGCCAGGGTATGCTGAAACTCTCTAATATGCTACTATTATAGATACTTGATAACGTTATGGAGCACCTATTATATTATGTTCACTTTAGAGATGTCATCTAGTTAATACTGCCCAGTCTGCACTTGTATTTGATACTTGAGCCTTAGAAGCATTCCATGACCTGTCCAGTGGAGGACGGGCCTTAAAGCATTCCCTCTCGCTGCCCGCAGAGGCCATGCTCCTCCCTCTGCCCCTCCAGCCTCCCACCGCTCACAGAGGGTGCTCAGGAGCCATTTGTGGGTTGTGATGCCTGAAAGAGCTAGATTGGAGTTTATGCCATGTTACCGCTTATGTAAGTCTTCGTTCCTACCGGAATCTGAAGAATGGGAAGACCATTACAAAAATAAGAAATACTCAGATTAGCAATCAAGGTAACCAAAATTTAAAGAAAAGTAGTAAAAAAATGTCTCCACCAAACTGATTAGTCAAAGCCAGTCACCAAGTGTGTTAATTTGAATGGATGGAAAATGTTCCAAAACATTTTCTTAATGTAGTTTACTTCTCTTTCTTTTTTTTATAGGAGAAAAATCATTTTATTTTCTAGTTGTTTTTTTACTTTTTCCCATCACCATGTATCCCCTCTATATTTCCTGGTTTTTATTTGGCATATTTCTGATGGCTCAGAAATCATTTCCTTCCTTAACCATTGTCTGAGAACTATTTCCTAGGCATTAAAAGTATATCAGTGGAAAAAGTAAACTTGTAATGTGGAAAAAATGTTTTCTCAAGACAATTTAAAGACATTGAGGTGCTTTTTTTGTTAAAAAAAAAATGTAATTGTAAGCTTTCTTAGAGAAGCAAATTCTAGAGATCCAAGACATATTTCCTGTGCTCTAAGGATAGAACTCCGTCTTCAACTCTGTTTTTCCTTCTAAATGACCTGCTGTTTCAGTGAAGGGGACTCATTTTTTTTTGCACTTCATTTTCCTAAAGATGAGATGCCGAATATTACAAATGTTAGATAATGACTAGGATTAACAGAAATCCTACACCCCAAGTCTTAAGCTCTATGAAGTAGGAAAAACAATTTTAAATTACATTTTGCTGATACCTTCATAAAAGTGTGAAATAATTTAGCTTTCCTGGGTTTTACAGAAAACACTTTAAAATGCCACAAAGATGTATAACAAGACATAAAACTGCAAATATTAACTGTCTATTTCCTTGAAATATAATTTAAATGTGGTGACTAGGACAAGAAAATGTCACATTCCTTTCTCTTGCTAAGGAAATTGCAAATTTCCTTTGCAAAAATAAAATATATGCAGTCTTCATAAGCATATATGTGACAGTTTTAAAGTTGTCTTGTTTGAGGTTAAAGGTTCCTATAAATTTTCATGATTGTCTCCCAGTTGAAAAAAGAAAAGAGGAAAAAGGGAGACACTAACCTCAGGTACGAGTTTGTTTTCTCTCCCACGTTAAAAGCAGTGTTTGTGCTATACCCACATACTGAACTTTCTAAATAGCCTGAGTTATGTCATTTTCAAATCCATCTTCGAATGAATACACTTTTGAGTTTTTATTTGTTTCTTTCCTTGATCTGCCATGTTGCAGATGGAAAGTTAATCCTCTCTTTGCCAGGGTTTGTAAAACAAATGGATATGCATGGTACTAAATGGCATGGGCAGTCCATTTCTGATAAGTGTGCAGTGTTTAGTTGGGGGATTTCAAGGCACTATGAGCCTTGGCTGAGAGCATTAATTTCACTTGGGAACTGAGTAATTCTGGAAACAGAGGGCCTCTTTTCAATCACAGATCCATCAAATTTCCAGAATTTCACCAACGTGAAATGAAGGAAAAGATGAATAGTTACATCACTGTCATAAGGGCTTTATGCCTATTTACTCATTTGATCCTCACACTGACCTTATTAGGTAGGTATTGCTATTGTCTCCTTTTTGCAGATGAGGAAACTGAGGCCAGAGAAGAAAAAGTTTTGGCCAAAATTCACACGGTGTCTAAGTGGCAGACTCGTGCTCTCAGCCACTCAGTGGATTTTAAGCTGTGATAGTTTAAATCTTATTAGAGAAGAAAAGATGAATTGGAGAAGGTCACGTGGTGGTTTATTCTGTCTGTAAGAACTGGGTTCCTTGTGATTTCAGAATTCAATACAGAGTGCATAGATGTAAAATCTTCTGGGAAGAGAAAGTGACGGATCACAAAATTTCAGAGCCAGTCCAAAACCTCTAAGGGGAACAGGAAGTCCCTAGCTCAGCTTGCTGGCTCCAATGCACTGGCCCAGCTAGTGGCTTTGCCTGCCATCGAGGCTTTCCTGGTCTCTGCAGAGGTTCCAGATTGACAAACCAGTCAGGACTCCTGGGGAGAACTGAATCCAGACCTAGCTGTGGGATACAGCTACATGTTTTTTGCAACTAGTAAGCATGTTGCAGGGATAAAAGTACACATGTACATAGATATGTCTCTGTAGAGTTGAGAGTGTTTTTTTTAAAACTTTATTTCTGCCTCCCTCATTATTAGCAGTTCAATAAAGTCTATTTTACTCCTAATTTTGCTTATCAGTAAAAAGAGCTAGCTTCTGGATTCAGATTTCAATAGGTTCCCACTGTAAGAATAAACTCTGTTCATGAAAAACAATACATATTGCTTTGGCCATGACAAGAATAGAGTGCATTTATTGGTCACAATTTGTGTTAAACATAGACTTTCCATATATATTTATGAGAAAGGTACAGCTCTTACATAAGTTATCAAAATAAAATGGAATAATTTCCAAGAGTTTCTATTTAACACACCTTTAAAAATTAAACTAATTTGACCACTGGCACATTATTTTTTATATTTCAAAATTATTTGTAGAGTTTTTATAAGAACATAAACTTATTACTAACATTACTGATTAGAATAATTTTGCAATTTTAGTCATCTCCAAATGATCAAAAATATAGCACTCACCTTTTGCCCATTCATCCCTGGAATCCCATGTGCTCCAACAGAACCCTAAGGAGACACATGATTAAATTAAATTGATATCACAATCACAAAATACTTCAATTCTAAATTTATATTGTGTTAGTTACGTCAGCCATAGCTTTACCTTGACAAAACGTATCTGGGAGGCTATGTTTTTTGGTTCTTACCCTTGGTGTTTAAACATACAACAAGGTACGCAGACTCATCAGCTTTTGCAAAAACTACTGAGTTAAATTTAGCTGTTTCTCAATACCCACCAAACTGCAGTAAGATTTTAAAGAAAGTCACATCATAAATTGAGATCCACAGTGGTCACAAGGCCACATGGCTCTAAATTTGGGTGCTTTTAGGAAATAAACAGGCTTAGTTCCATCTGGAAAATGCCTAGCAGTAGCAGCAACTCTTGAATTTTATGAATTTAAATACCATAAAACAAAAGGTAATTAAAATAACAACCACTTGTTGCACAATTAGTCAAATAAGGGACCCGTGTTGTAAAACTCAAATTTATTATATTTGCAACATTTCCCCCCAGACTTTTAGGGAGCACATTGAGCCACATGAGTGTGAATACGTCTTGCAAAGCAGACTAGGAAAAATGTTGCAAATGTTAAACACTGACTAGGAACAACACGACTTCCGTACATGAAATATTAAGTGAGCGCGCCTGCGCGCAGGCTCTCGAACATGTGTGCATGTGCTTTGGGGTGAATACCAATGACTGGACATAGGTGGGGTGAACTGAGAATAAGCAAGCTGTCACCTGAGGAAAATCTATGACATTGAACTGGATATGGTAACATTAACAAATGTTTTCAAATAGTGATGTCATTTCCTTCCATACACCTCCCTTTTAGGCTCTGGAGAAACCATTTTTAAAGAAAATGTTCTTATTCTTTGCCTCGCACTAGAAAACAGCTTTTTCTTAGTCTATGTATGCTATTAAGTTTCTTAATAATAGTGGAAGAAGTTTAAAAAAATAGTAATTATAAACCTAAAACTGCTCTATAAATAAGTCGATTAAAAATACAGTCATTATAAACAAAACGCATTGAGAGGGCAAGTTCCTTAGTGCTTCCATGGCTCTACTGAGTGGGTCATTAAAGTACTTCCCGAAGCCTGAGGCAGTAATTTTAGCCTGGCTGCATGTGGATTAGGGTAGCTTTACAATTTCACACCATGCTTAATAGAGACATTATTGCGAAGGACAGAGTGTTCCTATACACAAGTTGTTTCACAACTCATTGGCTTTTACTTGGTTTGCAGGGTTATGTTTCAACAGGGTTATGCCCATTACTTGGTTTGCAGGGTTATGTTTCAACAGGGTTATGCCCATTGCTTGGGGGATAAAAAGTCTCTATCTTTCATGGATTCCAAAGATAAAGATAATCACTTGTCCACCTGTTGTGATACCATTGTTTTCTTTAGTGTTCTACAGGTTAAATGTCCCTTTCCCCCCCGCTTGCAGGGTGGGAGGTGTAATGGGCAGTGGGGACTCAGTGATGCTTTGCTGGCAAAGGGCCATCTACCTGTACTGATACGTTTATTACTGCAGGATGGGTGTAATTTCAGAAATTCTAGACCCTCTCCAATGTAGAAATGACAACCAGGAAGTCACTTTTCAGATTACCCCAGGGGGCCACTTGAGTACAGTCACCAAGCAACAAGTACGTCCTTTGGTCTGGTCAGTTCTGTGGTCATTTGGCAATCAGGTATTTGAGCAAGGCCATGCACTTCATTTGCAGTGTTGTATGACCCTTCACATTCTAAGATGTCACAGTTAATCAGTATTTGAATGAAAAATTCAATAACCTACAAGTTTGGCAGATAGCATAAAAAGAGTCTGCTCTGGATTTTCTATAATGGAATTGATTAGAAATCTAACGGCTCACATTCTATGATTGTATTTTTAGACTGCACAAACCAGACCGCTTCGCCATGACTTGCAGCAGCTAATTCCATCCACCTCTCATCATTAGCCATTAGGCAACGGCAGACTACGTACATTCATAGTATTGTTTATACTTTACCTTTTGTCCTGGAGGCCCCATAGGACCCTAAAAAAAAATCAATTCAATTAACGTATTATAACCATTTAAACTTAATGACCAATTAAAACTGTGCTATTCTATAAGGTTCTCTTAGCTGTGTTGAAATATGCTCATATTTTGTACATCAAGGCAAATGAAATTTTCAGTTGGAAGAACATAAATCTTGTCTCTTATTCTCTTTTGAAGAACATTAAGCACATGCAGTAAGATTCTGATCGTTTTCCTTTAAAAAAGAATCTTTGTTATCCCAGCACCTCTGTTTTTTCAAATACCTGCAAATCTATCACATCAGTCTCATAGAAAGCTCAGCTGTTGCTACGAGAGGCAGTTAAAATGCAATGCAGTTCCCCAGTAAATGGACACATTCTCTGACCTCTGCGTCTTCAAAACCTCAGTCAGATTTGCAAAGAACATAATCCAACAGTATTACAAATAAACATGTTTTCCACTATTATTTTTCTTAGGAAATGTGGCCAATGGACCTGCACAAACACTTGTTTACAAATGAGGGGATGACAAGGTCACTCGTGGCACCTAGAGTGTACCAGAAAAGGAACAAATGATGCTGTCAGCTGTTGCATAAACTGTGACACTAGGGAGGGAGGCGGGGGGAGAAGAAATATAATATTTAGGAAGATGAATGGAAATATTTACATACAAAATGGAAATGTGGCAGTTCTGAGATTTAGCAGTTTTTCAACTACAAAGTCTGTGCTGGGATTCTGTTGGCTTTATTTGGAACAAGGCCTGGCTTTGTGATGATGGAAAAGAGCACAAAGAGAAGCAGCTATAATCCTGACCATTCATGTCTATTTCAATATTAAAATATTAAGCAATTTTTCCAATTTTTGAAAAATACTTTTAAACTTAGTATATTTTAACAAAGTTATAGGTAATCTACCATTTCATATAGAGCTCTTTATTCCATTACACTTAACTAATGGCTAGTTTGTTTTCAATGTGCTGCATTTCAGTTAATCAGCATCTTACATGCCTACTCTGAAACACTGAAGCACTAGAGTGGTCATCAGAGGAAGAACTGGTCATACATAATGTTTTTTTAGTAAAAAGTACACAATATTTAGGAACATTTGAAGAATCTGTTCCTCATAAATTATTTTGTAATCCTCACAGGAAGAGTAACAATTTCCTCATATAATCAGCTTCAGATTATTGAAAGCACATGTACAATATCACCTTTATATATTATTTTCAGATTTATTCAGCCAACCAACTTCCTAATGAGCTTGTTACCTGACATATCTGTGTGGTCAGAATCCTTCCTACCCATCTCATTCCTTATATTTAAAATTCTCCAAGTTTTATTTTATTTTTAAAAATCCTAACCCAAGGACATGATTTTATTGGTTGAAAGTGAGAGCGAGAGCAAGAGAGAAACATCAATGTGAGAGAGAAACATCAATGTGAGAGAGAAACATCAATTGGTAGCCTCCCTTATGTGCTTCCACCAAGGATGAATGGAACCCATAATCCAGGCATGTGCCCTGACCAGAAATCGAACCTGCAACCTTTTGATGTACCTAATGATGGTCGAACCAACCAAACCACCTGGACAGGGCAAATTCTCCCTGTTTTAGATTTTACAGGAAAAATAAGGCTATCAGGTATAAATTCCCTCAACACCATATCTCTCAACAATTCAAACCCAGTGTTCCCCCTTCCAATGTCAGAAGAAGAGGCCCTCATCCTCTACAAGGCAAAAGCATCTTGGAGACACTGGAATCCATCCTTGCCTCTGCCCTTGGGGCTTTGAGAAAATCAATTACCCCTGCATCCATATCAGAGCCTCCTGCTTCCCACTAGTTCCTTCCCCTCAGCACATAAACATGTTTAATCATTTCCTCAATCGGGTAAATTGTTTGGGAAATGAATGTTAATGCTGAGTAAAGTCAGAATTTGAAAGCTATAGTTACAGATCTGAGCATGAAGAAAAGACTTGGGTTTTATCACTGTCTATGATTCCATTTTTCCAAGTGTCTCCAGGGTATGTCACTTCTTAAAATGTTGATGTTAAAAAGAAAATCATATAACAAAAAGTACATTAATTCAATGTTTAGACTGAGGATGTATATGTTCAATTCAAAAGGGTTTGTTTCCCATTACAAACCTAACTGCCACTTGAAAAAATATTGTTCACTAAAATTGAATATTTTATTATATTGATGTATAACGCTGGGAAAAATATGTCATATAAAATTAGAGCAAATTTTAAATATAAATTTCTTAACTAGAAACTAACATATCTGCTATTTTCTAATTTGGTCTCTATTAGGTAATCACATATCAGAGATTTAGAAAGATTATGTATAACTCTGAAATCCATAAAAATTATGTTAATTGTATATTTTAGCACAGTATTTAGTGAAAGCCAAAGGATTGCTATAAACAAAGTTTTTCTTCACTGTTAGGAAACTACTGCCATTTTTGCTAAACTCTAAAAGTAAAAGCAGTTTTCAAAATATAACATTAATTTTAAATTGTGAATACATGTCTTGTGAATTATTCATAACTATGTTGCCAAGGATAGGTTCTCAGCTACCAAAAATTTGAATTTCTCATTTGATATCATTAGCAGGAAAAATGTTAGCAAGCCAAGGATAGTGTCATCCGTTACTAGGAGGGGACTAGGAATAAAGCAGAGTTGAATATAACACACAGACATACATTTAAGTAAGCATAACCACACAACACACATAACACACATAATAACATAGCTATTTTCCTGATCAGACTTTGCTTTTATGTTATGTGCTTTGAATATCCTTAGGTTAACAAACCCACTATATACCTGTGATATTGTGGTCACGAAATTTAAGCTTATGAATGAAGGCTTTGAGTTCAAAAATTGATTTTGAAGTTAAAGTATGTTGCTACCAGTTAATTAAGATGTCTACATTTGATTAGTTTTTGGGTGTCTAGTACAAATATAAATATATAAAATAGTGGGCAATTGCCATAGAACCATTCACTAATGTATCGAATCTTTCTTCTTATTTTCATCTTGCTTCAAAAGTCATTATGAATAATGACTTAGATGAATAATGTCCTAAGTTCATTACTTACTACTCAAACTAGTGCTTCTTTTTTATTCCTCAAATTAAAGTCAATTTTCTAGTGTTCTAAGATCTCTAAAATAATTACACTATTGTTAGCCCCATGACTTAATAAGTTTGGATCAAATAGTTTTCCAAACCAAAGAGTTAATCTTTTCTGTCCATATTTATTAATTAATGAATTGTTCCTTCTTTAAACATTTTTTTTGATGGGCACCTTTATGTTTGCATATATTTTGTATACAACCAGTTAAAATAAGACTAATCTGGTCTCTTTTATTTATTTATTTTTAAAATTCTCACCCAAGGAGTGAGGATATTTTTTCCATTGCCTTTTAGAGAGAGAGAGTAGAAGGGAGGGGAGAGGTAGAGGAGGAGGAGGAGGAGGAGGAGGAGGAGAAGGAAGAGAGAAACATTGATAGAAGAGACACATCCATTGGTTGCATCCAGTATGCGCCCTGACCTGGGGCAAGGATCAGACCTGCACCCAGGAATGGAACTCGCGACCCTCTGTTGTGCTGACACTCTAACCACTGAGTCACGCCGCTCAGGTCTCTTTTATTTTTTAAAATAACTTCTGTGTATATGTCTCGAGATTAAAAACTGTGTAACATATGGAATCTCAACATATTAAGCTATATATATTTTTAAGTTAACTCCGAAAGTGTTAAAATATAATTTGAACCTTAAAATATGCTCATTTCAATATAGGTTCTGGGTGTTGTAAAATACATCAAGCTTTTTCATTGAAAGATTCTACATAATGGCCATACCTTTGCTCAAATGATAAAAACAAATGAGCCATTGAAAGTTTCACTTGTCTACAGGTGAACTTTTACACCAAAGTTTTCACAATCTTTCAGAAAAGACCATGGGGAGCTATGCCAAGTTAAAACTTATTAAAAAAAAAAACTAATAAATTTACACAGTGCACTTGATTTTCTTTCCTGTTTACCCCACCCCGCTAGTTTCCCTTTCTAAAGATTATATAAAATATTAGGTAGAATATGGTCAGCACATAAGTTAAAGAAATATGATAGCCCCCGTTTAGCGATTGTCTTTACCGCAAGTGTGCTGCTCAGGCCTGAGGAATGCTTTACTCCTTGTGCTCCAAGTCCAACAGACACTTACTCAGGAATATATTTCTGGTCCACCCTTCTTCTTCAGCAGCGTTGCTAAGCTCTTGTTCAAACCCTTTTCTCTGTCACATAGCTAATGTGACATCCGCCCAGGGGCCTCTCTGCCTTTAGTCTCCTTCCATCCTTTCTGCACAGCGCTGCCTAAGTAAGCTTTCTAAAAGGCTGATGCATTCATATCCTTCCTCTGCGGAAAAAACCCTTCAGTGTCTTTCCAGAGCTTTTGAGAGAAGTCCAAGCTTTCGTAATAGCTGTAGTTCAACACATAAGCCACGCTTTCACATCTCTACACCTCTGGCGGTTGGTTTCTGTAATGGGCTTTTTATATCTTTGGTCCTCTCTTCCACCCTTCCCATAATGCAGAGCTCAGTGTCTCCCCCTTGGGGTGAGGTTCCCTGCTTTTGTTCTTCAAAGCATCCCATGGTAGGACTTGGTTTATAGAATTTACCAACAGGATTGTAATTGAGTGGTTATTTCTTTCTTGACTTTAAACGTGTTTATCATGCTCAGTAGCTGGCACATAGTAAATACTCAGTGAATCATTTTGAGTTCCTTCATTAATTCCTCTCCTTAACAGTGTTTGAATGCCCACTGAGTGTCAGGCAATGTTCTAGGCACTGGGGATACAGCAGTGAACAAACTAAACAAAAAATGCACACCCCCCTGGACTGCATATCTAGTAAACAGAGAAAGACAGTAAACAAATAAACAAATAAAATATGAAGCTGTGTGGGGTGGTAAGTGCTAAAGCCAATAAGAAAGTTGGGGTGGGAGATGTAGATGTGGTAGCA